ATCATTACCCCGTTTTGACCGCCAAGTTTCCCTACCCTGGGTAAAACTCTCCCATGCCATACTTTTTCCTAGATCCATTAGGATTCAAATTATTCAAGATTATACTGCAAAGGGAAGAATTTACAGTTATTAAAAGTACACATTAAAATACAATACTCATCTTCCAGAGCACTGATTTCAAAAAATTATCTACAGCGTGACAATGCAACAGTCAACACAACATTGTCAACTGGAGTCAGGTCAAGATTTTTGAACCCACCTTGGGAGAACATGACCTAAACATTAGAGGCGAGGATTGGGTACCTCAATAATCAAATAACCTTCCTCAAATCCCAGCCCTTTGGTCCTTCAAACTGGCGAAAAATCCCATGTTCCAAACAAGAATAAAAAAAATCCATACCACATATTCCTTAAACAAAATTGCAGATTTAGATCCTGACTGAGGACTCCTTAACGGGAATGCCTCCCCTTGTAATAGTACGTAAGTTTAAATTTAAGTATAGTAAGTCAGTCTTTTAACACTTATGTATAGTTATATTTATTGAGCTATGTACTTCTGCAAATATAAACACATACTTATAAACACTAATTACAAACATATAAGAGTTTGTAAAAGGAAACTAATGAGCCTTCATCTTTGCAGAAGAATTGTAAATGGGGAAAGTTATTTTTACATTTATATTGAGAAACTGAACAAAACTGTGCAAATATATACTTATGATATATATTGATACTGGAGGATACTGATAATATATTATATTCTGTCTTGTATCTAATGTATTATTATTAACCGAGGCAACTGTGCCACTTTCTTTCTTCTACCAACCTTTTTTAATTTACTGTATAAAAACTGTTACATACCTGCCTCAAACAGTGTTGATCTATAGTTTCACAATGTGGTAAAATGACAACACAAGTAGGCCCTACAATTCCTGCGTTAATAACAGAAAATAGAGCATTAGCAAAGTTATACTGAGAATGACTCAACTTTGTCAACTGTTTTAAAAAAACTGAAAATAACAATACAACACAAGAGAAAAGGGTCTTTAACTCTAAATAGATCATACACATTAGCATTTAATAGAGTAGGGAGAGACATGATTTTTAATATTAAAACAAATATGTTAAAATCGTTTTTTTAAATTTTAATTGCATTTTATATTGTGGTAGAATGTTTGTTACTATACCACTGTTTGATGTTGAATGTAGTACATAAATTATGTATACACACAATAGATATTTATGAATTATTAGAGTAGGTAAATATTTTTAAAAGTAAATTATGATCAATGCCTATTTTCAAATATTTAAAGTCACTTGTAATCATTATCATAGACTTCTAAGACATTATTTTAGGATGATGTTCAAATAATGTTCACAAATATTTATGTATTAAATTTTGAAGGTTTAGAATAAGATGTAACTATTAGTTTGTGGTTCACAATTTGTTCTCTATTTTGAAAAATATTGCTATATACTCTCTTATGCAAAAAGAAGAAAAATGAATAATTTGATAGAGCATCCTGCAAGAATTTGAGAAAAAAAGATAATATTAGAGAAGTAAAATGATTCCATTCTGATCAAGATTCCTGGAGCAACATTGCAAAGTAACAATATTACTTCCAAATGCAACATAACTTACCCTCAAATAGTGCATCCGAAAGAGAATTATAATCTACAATAAACAAAGTAAATTTTTTGTTTTACTGAATGGGGATGGCAAGACCATTTTGTAGACTAGGTTCACAAAACCTCTGTTCAACAAATTGGAAATAAAAACCCTGATAAAAACCTGCAAATAAGTGATGAGCTGAAACTGTGCAAAAAGTATGTTCTTCCATGCCATGTCTGTCCAATGAAGCCATGGTCACCTCTATTGGTTGCACCAAGCACGTGGCAGGTTGACAAACTACATAATATACAAAACTGGCAATGTGTTTTCCAGGTGGCAATGTTGGCGCAGCTTGAATACGCTACCCTTAATTTTTCCCTGTCTCTAGAAACTTATTCTATATTTCTAAATTCCAAATTTAGGCTTTGAATTAACGAATGTGAAGATGTCTCCAGCGCTAGTTATAGTTATTGGTGTTTAAAAGAGATTTAAATGACAATCATTTTTTCCTCTAAAATTCTGCGAAGTACTCCTTGACAATACTTACAATCTACAATTACATAGAAGAGCTATAATTTTCAACAAATGTTTGCATTTTAACAATAACTTTTGACCTACAACCATGACCACTAGTTTTTTAAGAACAAATACTGCAATTTAAAAAAAAATATTCTTTGTAATCTCAAATGAGATTTGTTCAAAGTCCTTTCTATCTAGGATGAATTGACTTAGTGACTGGCATCATATAATATTCTCGATAAGAATATTTGTTATCTGTATACATGTTCTATTATCAAAGATATAATTAATATTTTCGCCGAAAGAATATTCATTTACAGTGAATTTTACTTTCAGAGCTATTAGAGATATTTATGAGTATATCAATATTTTCTCTATTAATGTTGATTTGCTTTCTTCCATATAGAAATACTTAGTAAAAACATGATATGTTCTAAAAACACTTTAAGCATGCGCTTTCAGATTTCTTAGTGATGTTCTGAATCAAATTTTGTCGACAAGCATAGCAAGACTCGAAGTCATGAACCATGATCTTTTGTAAAAATCATTAAATAAAACATATCAATGTAACAATGACTCTTATTACATGAACAAACACTAATTACAGTATCTTTGCGCAAATTACAATTGAATCATTAGACAGCAATCGTTGTATAAGTACCTTCACTCTCCGCTCTCTGCTTTAAAAACTATAATGTTTCTGACAAAGGACGTTCATAATCTTTTATTTTTCTCAAATTCTTCACATTCTATGTAATTGTTGGAGATACATCCATTCTTTCCTAGATAGGTAATACAGGAGCACTTGTAAGAAACACGAAAAAATGTCGGAATATGATCTATTAAGAAATTCGGAAATAAAAGAACATACTTAAGCTCTAAATTTTTTAAGGAGTTTCTTGATAGTTATTTTCAGGATTGAATGCTTTGGAATAATCTCCTGAAGCGGAGATTTTTTTGCTCCGCATAATTGAAGGCACTGCAAGGTCAAGCTCTCTATTCATTTAAAATCATCATCTGCTGATTCTCGTCCAGAAACCTTTTCGAATAATTCGAGTCCGGCTTCAGTCTAGAATAAAATCTCCTTTTGTTATACGGCATGACCTTGATAACCAGGGGCGACAATGTTTTAAGGCCTGAAATATTCTAATTTATATTATTTTTAGGGGCGGGGGGGGGGGGGGGGGGGGGGGGCGGGGGATGTAATTGCATTCACAGGAAAGTCAGTTACCGTGGAGGGAGGTACCTTTGCAATAAATTGGGTAAAAGCTCTGACTAGAGACTTTGTTAGCAGACTTTTTTGATATTTATAAAAAATCAATTGTAAGGAGGGTTCCGATCAAGACGGCTATGTTCTTTCTTGAACGGAATTTGATTGCCTTATGGCCAAAGGCCTTTCGTGGAGCACAGCGCGCTAATCCTCCAGAGAGCGCAGGCTTAATGTAGGGCTGAGTTTTAGCTGGCTTAGTGTATCGCAATTTAGCTGGCTTAGTGTATCGCAATTTAGCTGGCTTAGTGTATCGCAATTTAGCTGGCTTAGTGTGTTTAACAGTAGCGCAGCTCAGCCCGTTTCCCGTTTTTATTTTCTCGCTACGGAATAGAGAGAAAGTTATGCTCTGCTGTGCAAATAACGACGAACAGGAGCCTGGTAACGAAAAAGTGGATAAATCCATTGCTAAATTAGAAAAGAAAAAAATCCTATTAACACGTGGTGTAGCAGGAATCCATGGTTTGTGGGACCTTGAAACCGAAAAATGGAATGGCAGCAAAACGTCCGTCTATCCGTCCGTCGGTGAACAACGCTAGCAGTAAATCTGTTCAGCTGATCTTCTCCAAAATTGATATTCCCTATCTAATTGATGTCCGTGCCCTTTGAATTTGAAACCGATATTTTGAATTTTTTGCGGGGGGGGGCGTATTTTTTACATGAAGTCGGTGGGACATTTACACATTTTCAAAAAAATGGCTCCATGATTTTTTTTATGGTTAGTGTGAAGGATGTTTAAGTGATGCAGGTCTTGTGTTCGCTGAAAACCCTGTTTCGAAACTTGAAATGTTCACAACTTTCCGGAGACTTTGTTAAGATAAATATTTTTTTCCTGAAGATAAATCGGTTTCTTAAGGATAGGTTTTGAAACAGGGTCATGAACAGTTTTTGGTAATT